GAGGCTCGCCGGGGAGCTGCGGGGAGGGCGTGGGGGTGCCGGCCTAGGAGCGGGGGACTTGCGTGATGGGGAGTGGGGAGGGCCCTGCCTTATATCAGCGGACGGCTTGGGGATGGCTTCTAGGTTTGGGAGAGAAGCGCAAATTCGTTCTGCATGTGTGCCAGGAGCCCAAAGAGAATTAGGGCCTTAGCAGCATGAGGAATAGCACTTGTCGCTCTTAAGGGTGCTGCTGGTAGTGTCTGTGGGTCAGCCTGCCCTTCACTTCTTGTGATCATTTGTTTAAAAAAAAAAAAAACGGGGATGGGGGTATCTTGGGTGTAAGGGTATATTGGGTAGCCTGGTTTGGCAGAAATACCACTGAAAAGAGTCTGTAGGGCAATTATTTATGGTAAAGAAGGGACACTCTAGATGGATATTCTGTTGGCATTAGTTCAACTGACATCTTATGCTGACTTGATCCGTTGTCTCCCTGAGGTGCCAACGATGGCTGTAGAGAAGGTCTTTGTGTACAACAACACATCCATTGTGCAGGATGAAATTCTGGCTCATCGCTTGGGCCTCATCCCTATCCGAGCTGACCCTCGACTCTTCGAATATAGAAACCAAGGTGAGAGCCTTGGATCAAATAGAAATATTGAAGGTTTCCTCCGAAGCAGGAAATCGGGGTCATGTAAACCAAGCAGAAGTGTGATTCCATAGAGGCTCACGCTGTTCTTCCCTTCCCAGGAGATGAAGAAGGCACGGAAATTGATACTTTGCAGTTCCAGCTGAAAATAAAATGTAGCCGAAACCCTCAGGCAGCCAAGGAATCGTCTGATCCTAATGAACTATATTTCAATCACAAAGGTGAGATCTCTCCTAAAAATAAGTGGTGTTTTTTTCTTTTTTGGTCTTGGGAGACAGGATTTGGTCTGTTCTCTCAGCCCTGTGAGCAGAGAGAGCCGATTCTCTCATTCTGCTGAACTTACTTTTTGCCATCTCCAGTCCTGTACGGGTCAGCAACCTGTTTTGAGACAGCAGCTGGCTGATGCTTGTGGCTTCTCTTCACAGTGTACAGTAAACATATGACGTGGGTGCCCCTGGGAAATCAGACAGACCTCTTTCCAGATGCTGACTTCCGACCTGTTCACGATGACATCCTCATTGCACTGTTGCGACCTGGTCAGGAAATAGATGTGCTTATGCACTGTGTCAAGGGTATAGGTGAGTCGTGGGTCCTGGGGCAGCCGGAGGAGGAGTGCGAGTGCTTGGACTAGGGCACAGCTGTGTGAAGGGGAAGGGTGAAGAACTGGCTTTCCCCCTGGAACTTTAGGCTCCAGCATCCTTGCACTCTCATTGCGTGAGGCCTGCCCTCATCCTTAACTCTTCATGCAGGTAAAGATCATGCCAAGTTTTCTCCCGTGGCCACAGCTAGTTATCGACTGCTTCCTGACATTACTCTCCTGCAGCCTATTGAGGATGAGGCAGCTGAGATGTTGCAGAAGTGCTTTTCCCCTGGAGTCATTGAGATCCAGAACATCAAAGGTACTTTTTTCCTGCTCTGAAGTGCCTTTTTCCTTACAAACCTTAGCAGAGATGGATTAGAGACTAGAGCCAAACCATGAAGAGACAAAACCACGTTGTGATGATATCTTGCCAATCAGAAACCGTTCATGCTATTCTGAGCCTGGTTTTATGGATGAGTGGCTGTCACATGCAGATGTGTTGGGTGATGAACTGGCATCTCCCTGAAATGCAAAGGCATTGGGTGCCGGTCTGCAGAGCCCTGCGGCTGCTGACTGTAGCTTCTAGTACTGTTCAGTTGTCTTTAAGACTGGGTAGTGAGCTTGCTCTTTCCAGCAGCTGAGCGTGGAGAAGGCTTCTTGTGTCCTGCCCAAAGGTACATACAAGCTTTGTGTTTGGGTTGGAACTGCTCAAGAACACCAGTTCTATCAGGTTGGAGTTTCATGTTGGGGATGTACTAATTCTTTGTATTTGTGGCTTTGCTGCCTTATCTGATGGAGGAGCGCATGTTTGAGGGGTAAGCATCTGCCATGACCACAAGGCACCCATCTGCTATAGGTGCCCATCTCGGTTCATCTTTTCCCCTTTAGGAAAAAAGGTGGCAAGAGTAGCCAATGCACGGTTGGACACGTTCAGCAGAGAAGTCTTCCGTCATGAGGGTCTGAAAAACCTTGTGCGCCTGGCAAGAGTGCGAAACCATTACATCTGTAAGTGCCCCATTTTCCACAGAAGGTAGAGCCCTGCTGTGGTTTGTGTAAACAAGCAGAGACTGGCCAGCATGTGTAACTGGGTCTCTGCCTCCCCCTTCCCCCCGACATGGTCAGTCTTCATACATTCATATTCCAGTAACTACTGAGGTTGTGGTTTGGTGTTGCTTTGGGATTGAACGTGTTTGTGCTTCCTGCTGGCAAATGTAACCTCTTCTCCTCTGGCTGTGAAGTTCTGGCTTGTCAGAAGTGTGGTGTAAGGGAAGACGAGGGACAGAAATGCTGGAGCCAGGTGTAGGCTGAAGCTGCATAGCGGCTGTGCTGACTTGTGTCTCTGTGCAGTTTCAGTGGAGTCGACGGGTATCTTGCCTCCAGATGTGCTGGTGAGTGAAGCCATCAAGATCCTGATGGGAAAGTGTCAGCGCTTCCTGAATGAACTGGACTCTGTGCCTATGGAGTGACCAGGCTGTAGCTGGGAAGCATATCCCTGCACTGCTGTTTGGGCTTCCTGCACCTGCCTGCAGGGGTGATTCCTCTTCTGTAGGCAAGAGGTTTGAGATGGGCTTGTTAAGAGTCCTAGGACAATCTCTTTGAATTTGTTTTCTGTTGGTAATGAGCCTCAGTGAGGAGATGCACTAAAATAAAGGCTTTTCTTTACAGCTGTCTCCTGCTGTGCTGTTCACAATTGTGAAACAGTAATACACAAAGAAAGTGGCAGTGGGTCTAAAGATGAGTAATAGCATTTATTTTAGCTTGCATGCAGTATGTGAAAAGGACCAAAATGGCAGTGTAGTAAAGCGTAGCAGGTCAGTGAGATTTAACAAGTCTCTGTCAGTGCAGGACTGTTTTTGCAGGTGTCTCAAACCAGCTCCAGGGTAGTTAATATGGTAGATAAAAGGCTGTACTGTCAGAGGGCTGGGACACCTCTCCTATGAAGAAAGGCTGAGAGTTTGGGTTGTTCAGCCTGGAGAAGAGAAGGCTCCAGGGAGACCTTATTGCAGCCTTTCAATATATAAAGAGGGCATGGAGAAAGACTTTTTACCAGGGCCTGTAGTGACAAGACAAGGGACAACGGTTTTAAACTGAAAGAGGGTAAAAGAGGGTAGACTTGTATTGGACATAAGCCATTTTTTACAATGAGGGTGGTGGTGAGATCTTGGAACAGGTTGCCCAGAGAAGTTGTGGATGCACCATCCCATGGAAGTGTTGAAGGTCAGGTTGGACTGGGCTTTGAGCAACCTGATCTAGTGAAAAATGTCCCTGCCCACAGCGGGGGCGGGGGGGGGGGGGGGGTGGGGGGGGGTGGGTTGGACTAGATTGTGTTTGATGGTCCCTTCCAGTCGAAACCATTCTATGATTCTATGATACAGTACTGGGCTTCTCTGTGCAAAGGTAAGGCAGCTCTGTAAGGACTGACTGTCCCTTCTTAAATAGCTCAAGGTAAGACATTTTTTCCCAGGTGTTAGATTCGACTACTCTCTTCTCCCTTTCAGTGACCTTGAAGCAGAACTGGATGGTGGAGGGCAAGTGACAGCCAAAGGCCTGTCTCCACCCAGGGAAGCCTGGGAGAACTTGCAAGTTAGTCTCAGTGGTGAGCACTACTGTTAGTCAGCACCGGGTAGGTCTTGGCTTGTGAAAGTCTCTCTTGACAAGCTGATGAAGGAACTGGAACTTCAGAGAATGGCTAGGAGTACTGGTGTGTCCCAGTTGCTTAAGTCAATCCTCACTACAGTGCTAGAGTTTAGTGTAGTACTTTTTCTCTACCTGTTTCACTCAGCTATGGTTACTTATTCTGTAAACTTCCTTTAGGCGTTAATCCCATTTGAAAAATAGTAATTTCTAGCTGGATCCTTTCAGCTGAAGCAGCGTCCGTGCTGAGCTGGATTACAGCTAGGGCCTTGGAAAAAGGTTTTGTAACAAAAACTTACACTGATATTGCTGGGCCCACCTCTTTGAGGACTTCTGCTTTTGTTGTAAAAGAGACCTTTCATACAACCTTCATCGGGTGAGGGGACAGACCAAAGGCAATAGCTACATCACCTTCCTGTGTTACTGAAAAGGTCAGCTGAGAGAGTTATGGCTAAACTACAGTGCTATTGCAAGACATTGCTCCTCCCAGCCAAAGCTAGGGCTTGGAGGCTACTTTAGTAGCATATGCACCTTTCTGTGCTATTGCTTCACATATTTCCCATATTACTTATGGGACATATGCTGGAATAGCCATGCCAAAGGGCTTTGCTTTGGCAACATGTACCCTTCAAGCTGTAAACTGGGACCTAGCAGCTGTTGTGGAATTAATATAAACCAGCTGTGAGTAACATAAATACTTTAAAATGCAATTTTCCCCTTGCCTTCTAATTTAATTATGTAGTCTGGAATGGTTCATCCCCTCCCTGATAATGTATGCTGACTACCAGCAAAGGTGCTCCCTTTTTGGTAGCTGGACTGAGGAGTGCTGAACAATCCTTAGGAAGACAATCTGGGCAGAGCAGAGGCCTCAGATCTTACTGAAACAGATAAAAGAATAAAAATGAAACCATGACACCATGTGTATGAAACTGAAATAGCTTTACTGACATTCAGAGGTGTAACACAACCAGTTCAGAGACAGCTTCGGATTTAAACATTCCTACAAAAAAGGTTCTAAAAACCATTTTAAAAAACCCCCTTGTGTCTAGCATGAAGTCACAGAATGTTAAAAATATCACAACACAATAAATACCCCCAGCCTGTGCTAGAGCCAGGAGCCATGTTAACTCAGAGGTTAAAAAAGTTTGAGGCCAGGAGGAAAGTGGAGGGTGCTGGTGGAACAGCAGGGGCAGGAGGGTGAGTGGATTCCCAAGGCCTGCTCTTCTTTTCTGCGCTCCCACCCCTCCCAACACCACCTTCTCCGCCTGCCACAGTTTATTACTTGTTCTGTCTCCCAGATGGCAAAACTGCCAACTAGCTCTGGACAGACCCTCCCAGCTCCTGTCCTAACACTAGGATAGATCGAGTGAACCATTTATCATGTAAGAAGAACCAGCTTTGCAGACTGGAGTGGTTTGATAGAGTCCCACCTCATCTAAAACCCAGTTTCTGATCTGGCTCCCCCCCTGTAAACTGCAGTATAAACCCCACCCTTCCTGCCCCACCACACAGTTCTCTGAGAAGTACCAAACTGGATAAAAACACGGGCTACTGTCACCTCCACAGCAACAGGGTGAGAAGATCCCTTTTGGTTTGCAGGTGCTTCAGATATTGGTCCAGATTTTGTGTACCCTGCACTGGCCATGTTCTAGTCTATAGGGCATGGTAAAAAGGAAAAATAGTAGCAAAAAAAAAAAAACGTCTGTCCTGCTCCCCCTGAGAGATGTCCAAGAAAGGCTGGCACAAAGTAAATGCCTTCCATTTGGCTCTGGGTAGAACAAGCTGTATGATCATATATATACACATATATATGTATATATATGACAGTGTCTGCCTCCTCCTAGAGAGCAGCTGCACCTTAGAAAGGCTGATCTCGAGGGAGATCCTAGAGCACTGCTAGGCTTACTGGCACACAGCCCTCAGCCCAAGGCTCAGCATCCTGGAGGGAAACGGATTCATCAGAGTACCAGTCCGTTAGGGACAAGTGCTGATAGGCATGACAGGAGTGTCTGATGTGTTCCCTACAAAGCCTGGCTACTAGCACCCAGAGGAAGATTAAGGTAGCCCCTTTTCACATGGTGCACTACTCTGTCTTTTGCATTAATCCTAAACCCCAAAGGATGAAGAAGTGGAGCAAGAGTAACCCAAGGCTACAGGATGACCAGGCTTTACCTAACAGAGTCTATGGGCTCAGCTCCCACCTTGCAGAGAAGCAGAGGTCCAAAGATGCTCATCCAATGGAGGGGACGGGAAGGAATCAGGGAAAGCTTAATAGCCTGGTTCAAATGCCACCGCAGGCCCCATCCCAGCGTAGGGAGAACGGGACAGGACCTGTAAGGGGCTTTATTCAGACGAACGCTTGTGGAGGTGATGACAAGGAGAATCTAATGTGCTTACTATGAGGAGAGACAAAATATAAGGTAGGGGAGGAGATGGTTGCAGCATCCCAGGCTCAGGGCTCAAAGAGTGCAGTCAGGCCCTCTCCATCCTCATTTTCTAGCACATCCGTCTCCAGTGATGGCTTCACCTTTTTGAATAGAGATGGGAGGTTCCGGATGTGAACCTCCTTGCGGAACTGCTCCCCGAGGGGCTTCTGCAGAGGACAGACAAGCAGGCATGAGTCATTACTGCCTGCATAGCCCCAGTTAACTCAGGGGCAGCCTGCTTGCAGATCAGAGGCAGACCCCAGATTCTGAGCAATCCCTAGGCCCAAACCCCCTGCTTGCATTTTGGGGAATCTCAGGCCTGGTCCTTCCCAAGTGCCAGGGCACCGAGATAACCACCAGTGCACCAGGTCCCCAGCTTTTAACTCAATGTACCAGACTCCAATGCCACCACCCTCACAAAAGCCCAGCACCCACCTAGCAGCTTTGTTCAAACATTTTAACACCCTGTTCGCCCGGGCACCCCTGTGCAAGCTAGCCCTTCCCTCTCAGTGAGAGGTCATTGCTCGAGGGGCTGCTCAGTCTGTGCTGCCATCCCCGCTGTACCTCCAGGTTGAAGAGAGACAATATGCTGCAACAGCTTCCTGGCTGGGAAGGGGGGTGGTTGGGGAGAGGCAGGCAGAGTGGCTGCCCCGTCACTTCTGCAGGGTATGGGCATGAAATGATACAGGTTCATTTTCCTCCAGGATATCACCTACCCCGATGCAACCTGTGATGAGGCGCTTGAAATGATCCTTCCGGCGCTTGTCTGCCACCTTCTGCAGCGTTGGGTTGAGAAGCTTTGAATCAAACTGCTCCAAAGAGTCCCTCTGGATGTCTGGGATCTGCTCCATCACTGCCTTCAGCTCAGCGTAGCGAGGGCGCTGCAGGGAGAAGTATGGTTAACACAGCTCTGCTAGAGGAGCAGCCCTGCCCTCCTTGGGGGGCCATTAGCTCCTCTGCCCCTACCCAAGTGGGCATGGGATTAGTTTTCCACCACTCCCCAGCCAACCTGGCATCTGGACAAAGAGGAGAGTTTCTCACCAAGGCCTCGTAGATCTGGAAAGCCAGGTGGACAAGAGCTGCCATGCAGCCATCGTGCTGCCCGTGTGTCTGTAAGCCCTTCAGCACACTTGTGAAAAACCAGGACACGGCATCGGGCAGGAGGTTTCCTGGAAGCACCTGGGGAAGAAGCACTGTCAGCACGGAAGCAGGATGCTGATACATGACTGCCTTTCTGCAGCAGCTTGGTCTTCCCGAGGGAGAAGGTGCCCAGCGGTGAAGCAGCCACGCTTCTCACTACATTCAGAGCTTCCCCTCTCAACCCTGCCAGAACTAATCCCTCCTTCTTCCCAGAGGTACCTGTTTGAGCAGCGGCCAGCAAAGCTGTGTTGTGGTTCTTTGGCAGGACAAGGTGTCCTTCCAGGAGAGGGATGTGTAGGCAGTGATCAGCAGCGCAGTGCAAATATCCTGAAAAGGAGTCAGAGAGGGAAACCAGTCAGAGGAATGATTTCCCGCCTCCAGGGTTCAAATCTGAAGGGAAGCAATCCAGGAACTCTGCAGGAGCTCCTTGGGGCTATCTTCTGAGAATCCTGCGTGCTGCTGC